CGGTGTGGGCTGCTGTCTTCTTGTGTGGGAAACAATAATGAACTGCCCCTGATTATTTCTGTATTAAGAGTACAGACACAGCTGGCGTGCGTTTCAAGTTGCTTGTTCTGCAGAAGTTGTTCCCTGTTTTGCAGAAGTTGTTCCCTATTTGTAATCGTTATTTCCCCTTGCTTTGTCTAATTCTCGGAAACTTCAGGAATGAGGAGACCAAAACTGCACCTGGTGGGTTGGTCAACGTAGATTAGTTTATATAAAGCATAAAATAGTTTATTGATGTTTTATGTAGGAACTCAATAAGAAAATACTTTTGTCTGCTCTTAAGTCAATGTTTTCAGAAAACTCTTGATTTCAAGATTCTGGGATTTGGTGGTAAAAATCATCTTGGAGCCCGTCGCTGTATGTATAATTAAGAAGGTTGGGGGTTTTTTTTATCACATTTCTCTTAAATGATTTAATCTATCATTTTATAATGAGGCCCTTCTGGAGTTGTGCTGTTGACTTGCCTGTTCTGAGGAACCCAGTGCTGACAGTGTCATTGGCCGTCTTCATCCTCTTCTCTTGCAGAGAGATACCAAGCGTCCACTGCAGGACCCTCCAGGCCTCTGTTGCCAAAGCTGATCCTTCCACTCTTAGTTTAAGGGATTGTTTATCCATGTAAGGATGTTTCATTATATCTCAAGTTAGTTTAATTTCTTAAATAACATTTATACAACTTCCAAATTTTGCAGTTTGTAATTTTAATTGATTGCTGACATGTTTGCAAAACCTGTTGGAAGTGTACGTCAGTGAGTTGGTTTTTGGTGAAGTGATGATTGTTCCCTTCTTATGCAGCTGAGTAGACGAACTGCAAAAATGACAGCCAGGAATGAGATGCAGGTATGTGCTTATTGACCAGAATATGAGTGTTGGTTCTTTTAGTTACTACCTTAAAGCATTCCTTCTGGTATTTAATTACAAATGTAATCTGCAGCATGGCAAGGAGCGTGAACGGAAGAAACGTTCCTTTGCCATAGGTTAGTACTAAGTAGCTGGGTAGAAAGCAGATGGAATTGGAAATTATTGATGACAAGACATCATATGCATTTGGCATACGTGACTCAGTTGGGATAATCATAGAATCGTAGAATCGTATCAGCTGGAAGAGACCTCGACGATCATCGAGTAATACTTAAGATCAAAATGTTGAGTCTGTTTATAATTGATTTAGAAAGAATAGAGCGATGAAATAGTTGAGGAAGGCAATAATCCCCAAATATACAAATATCTTTTAACACCAATACATCACAGAAGCACAAAATATTAACTCTACTAAGGAAGGGATATGAACACAATGAGACCATATGTAAGCATTTATTTATAATATGAGGAAAAATAGTTAAGGAAAACTGGAAGATAATTAAAAACTCAGTATTTGCATGATTAATGTATTAGATATAGTGTTCTGTGCTTTAGGATTTACATTTAATAGTTTGGAAATTCAAAATAATGCTTATAATGCAGGAGATGATGCATGTTAAATCTTTCTAAATCAGTGTTAGGCATATAGTAATAAAGTTGCTCTATTTTGTTGTTGACAGTTTGAAAAGTTAATTGATGAAGCTACAAGAAAAAAAGATTTCAAATTACTAGAACAGTTTCTGGTAACAGAAGACTCTGAAAATGTCTCTTACAAATGCAGCAAACAGTTTGTCAACAAATTAGACAAGCTTCTGTGTCGGGTAATGTCATCATTACATCATAATAGTCTATACTGTCAACATAATAGTTTGAAAAACATTTTTTTTTTCGTTTGGCTTGCTTTACATCAGCAGTTGATTTGGAAAAATGAAATAAAATTTAAGAATGAAATCTCTACTGCAAGCTGCAGTTAAGGTGGCTTTTGAGAACAAAAATGCATCTAATTAGTTAAGTGCAGGTCCTTTTAGAACTGTACACTAAAGCTTATGTTATAATTTCAATTTTAGGAACTTGACAAACAAGAAATTGCCAGCGTTTCCACTGTACTAAATTGTATTCAGAAATGTGGGATGAAAGTCAGCATAGCAGGAGAAGATGGACTCTCAGCAATGATAAAATATGGTCTTATTGGAAGGATAAGTAAAACATAAAGCATATGTGAACTTTAAAAATCCCATAAATTAATATAGCAAGTAGAAGTAATGTTTTCAATGCTGAACAAATTTGGTCCTGGATTGTTTCCGAGTTGTGAATTTCTTCTAGATTTGCCACAAACATTATTCACATTTAAACAGGTTTTGGCAAGTTGCTTCTTATAGTGGTGCTACTCTACCACAGGGAAGATTTTGCAAATTGTGTGATGTATAACTTAGATAAGCTTGCAGCAATCACAGCATAGTGTTATGTTTTTATATGAGCTTGCTATACTGCTTTTGAGTCAGGAAATAAAGTTTCCTGGTGCAGTTTTAATATTTTTTTTGTTAATATTCACATCAACAATATTGTACCTGTTCTTTCAGCAGATTATAGCGCTATTCTGATTATTTTGTGGTATTTCAACCTGCATGTTAATACATTAATAATTTGTAGCCCATCATAATAAATATACTGAAAAAAAGATACCACTTGATTATTGCTTTCACCAGAAAGTTCACTGAACAAAATTAATGACTCTCTCAGATGAGGGTTACTCAGTTGCCTTCTCAACTGTTTTTTGGGAAAAAAAAAAAAAAGCATGTTGATAACTTCGTGCTTGTATTCACACCTACAACACACTTTTTCATTCCAACATTTCCCGTTTTCAGCTCCATGCTGGCAGATGCTGTCTTAGAAAGTCAGCTACGGAGGTTAAATACTTTAATTTGAAATCACCTACATTTGTTTAGCCTCAAAGTGAAATTTTTTTCTCACACTCAAGCACACTCAACAGACTAATGTTGCTGCTGTTTTAGTCTTTGTATAGTTTGTATAATTTGTATAATTTTACTTAAATATAATAGAAACTATTGTCCTTTTTCATGCTATTAAAATAGATTTTTTTTTTCCTTTACATGGTTAATTGGTTTGAAAAGGTAAAAGGAATTTTGATCCTCAGTGGAAATGAAAAGAATGAAATGCTTGCAAATCTGACTGAAGATTTCTTCAACGTGTTGCTGGTAAAAAGAGATTGATAATGAAATACTTTATGTGTATTTGTCAAAATAATTATTACTAGTTTAGCAATAAAAAGACTTTCAAATGTGATTAATATCCTTCTAAAGTTATTTAGTGTTAAAGTAATTTCTGAAACACATAAGTCTTGGATAAATAGTTTGCATTCATACTCATTTTCTGTTCATGATTAGTATCATTAGCAAGACACTTCAACTTAAGTTTTCAGTGAACAAAAAAATTTCATCTTGGTCTAATTTTAATTACGTAAATTATTGATATGCTAACATCAGGACCCCAAGTTGATAAGATCTGTGAGTTTTCTGTTAATAAAACTTTTTGTCTCTGGGGAAATAATTTCGATAAAATTAACTGAAGTGTGATTTTGGGAAAACAGAGTTGGTCTCTTATGTAAGGATGAAATAATTTTAAATCCTTAACTGCTTTTAGATTGCTTGCTTTATGTACATATTACCTGATTTTTGTGGTGTAATATTTACAGTATCCAACTGATGTGTTTTGGTTTGGTTTTTCTTGTAGGCTATATGTGATAGCAGACCTGAAGGTGAGCTGGAAAAAAGTACATGCTAGATCTAATAGTAAAAGTGTTCTGAAAGAAACACATTAAAGTTACCGAGTGTTAAAATAACTCTTACTGCTTCTGGAGCCACCTTGAGGCAAGGTAGCTTTGACAGAGCAGGTGGAGTGAAGGGGATACAAAGTTTCTTGATCTAATGTGAACGTACAGCCAGATCGATGTGCTGCAGCTGATAAACTGCAGCAGAAGAGGGCTGATCCCCGCGAGGGCTGTTCAGCACAGAGCACCGCAGTTCTCATTCCTGTGAAAAAAGCTTGAATGTCAACTGGGACTTTGGTTGGTTAATTCTGAGGTTTCTCTGCTGGCAGGTTTCCTTGTAACTTGCTGATGTCAGTTATACAAAAGCAGGATAGTCTGGTCTCCTCCGAGATGACGATCAAACTGTTTGTTGTTTCTAAGCTACTGTCGTAGCTCAGCATAGCACAGGAGTCCTTCGTTATTGCCCTTGTCACCATGAGTATCACACTGCTCTTACCTTTCGGTATAGCACTGGGTAAAAAGCCACTGCAAACTATTATGCTGCCCCAATCAATAGGAAAGATTTGTTTCCTTGTCCCTGGGAAGATAAATCTCACGGTTTGAAACATACAGAATTGATCTGATTCTATTTTTAAAATAGAGATCTTGTGCCCAGGGGACTTAGGCAGGGATGCACAGGAAGAGAAATGTTTTAAAGAACCATATTTACTAAAAATTGAAGTAGCTGTTCTGTCCTGCATTTAGTCATGACACTTGGATGTTTGCTTTTAAATAATTTTATATGGAAAGCATTTAATTTCTAAATGAAAATTAGTCATTTTCCAAATGCTGATGGGGAGAACCATAATACACTCTCAACTCTGTAATTTATTTTTTTCCTGTTCATTAGGTAAAATGCAAATACTAGAAAACTTTATTCTGAAAACATGTGCCCTTGCCGCTGACGAAAGAATTAGTATTTATATTCAAAAAAATTCTTCTTTCTAAGCAACGTTTTTTTGTGGTTTTTATAACAGGCTTTGTGAAGATTGCATTTTAAATGTACAGATGCTACAGAAAGCATATTGTAGTGCTTTAATATCAGAAGGATGTTCCTCTGGGAATGTTATCATTTATATGTTGGGGCATCTTGTTTTCAGATTACTGACAAAATTTTTATTTATATGGTAAATTACAAACCAGTGGCATTAAGATTCTGCTGAGAAAGCTGTGTGAAAGGGTAGAAAATAATATTCTCTGTTACAACTGCAATAAATAGGATTAAGATTGCTGGCTGTAAATTCTTGAGATAGTTGCAGGAAACTTGTGTACTTTCTGGTACGCTGCAGCTTTCTCTTATTTGTTTTAGTAACCTCAGGTTGTCAGGTTCATTTTCCTTTTCAAAGAAAGAGAAAGTCACAAAACAAGTATGTGGAGGCTACAGCCCCGAAGGAGAGGCTTTTTAATGCAAGTTTAAGGTGTACTTTAGCCAAGCAGTCAGTTACGGACAGAGCTCTACCTGTGGAAGGTTTTTACATATTTAACCTTCAAATAAGCAACATATCACTTTAGCTTTGATGTGAACATCAATTGTTGGTGTTATTTATAGAAAGAGAGGTACCTATATTAAGATAAATACCATGTAAGGTTAGATAGAACTCATCTCTTGTTTTGCAGTTACTTAAGCGTATTATTTTCTTCAGTGATATGAAACATATTACAAAGTCTCAATATAAGAGTAATTTAAACTTTAACAAATTATTTTATATTTGATCGTAATCCTTTTTTTCCACCCTTCTTAGGTAGTAAGAAAACTTAATTTAATGCTCGACAACATGCCTCGAGATGCCAAAAAAAAAATAGTTGCTACAAAGGAAATGTTGCCTGTCATGTAAGTCATCTTCAGCCTAATTTTTATTTCGTTACATTGTTTGCAATTTTTACTAAGTCTGTTTATCCTGCATGCCAGTTGGTTCCTATTTAACTCATTTTTACCTTTGCTGTTGTGTTGCCAGTAGTGGTAGCTGCTGTCAGGTTTTCTCATGGATTATTCTCCTTTGCAAGCCTAAATTTACCTCTTTCCCAGTCTGGGTTAGACTTCTCATCTTAATTGTCTTAAAACAAACTTTTATTTATAAGAATGTGTGTAAAGCACAGTAAATCAGTCTATGAAAGAACAAGCTATTTACTTTGTGGATTTTTTTCCAGCATTTCAAAAAATAGAATAAAAATTGTATATATGGGGTGATTCACTTCCCCCGTAGTACTTTCAGACTTACCCCTTTAAAGTCGAATAGTCTAGAGGAGTCAGAGTTTTGTCTCATAAGCTGAAAGCTAATAACATTTTTCTTCTATGCTTTGTGTTGCTGTCATATTTTAATTAAATGTTACTTTGCCTGGCAGGCGTGACATGGGGAAGAGAATTTTGGATGCTGGAGGTAAGCATGGGGCTTAATAAAGCGGTTTAGTATTGAGTTTCTTAAAATTCATGTGCAGACCTATAAAAAAAATGGAGAAGGCATTCAGAAGCTGCAGAATGTTGCAGTCCTCTGAAAATACAAATACTGCATGAAAACCTTTTGCCAACTGGAATGTTTCAGGTATGTGCAACATAATGGCAAACTCTGGGAAGCTGTCAGTCCTTTTCTCTGGAATAAGTATTAAAATAGCAAAAGCTTCTGAGGAAGTCAGTCTTTGAGGACAGTGAGCTACCAGCCATGTTGAGTAGTGCTGGAAATTGTCTCAGGGATCACTTTGGTTTCCAACAATTTCCCAGTTCAGACAGGTGCAAGTTGAAAACTTTGTTGCTCTGACGTTTCCTGAAAGTGTGGTCGAAATTTCATATTGAAAGCTAAGTTGCTGAGTCATTCTTATTCCCTTTGTTCTTTATCTGTATCACCTTTAGGGGTTATGTATTTGGATATAATGTGATAATATCATACAAAATGTTCAGCACTGTTAATACCAGCTTCCTACATATGATTATTTTTTCATATCAGTAGTATCTTTAAAACTACTATTCCTGTAAAATGTGTTGTGCTGCAGACTATGACCTGCAAGTAGCCCTTACAGAAGCTTTATGCAGAATGATCTCAGAGAAACAAAGAGGAGAACTGGCCTGCCAGTGGTTTTCCATGGAGTTTGTGTCCAATGCATTTAAAGGAATTAAAGATTCTGAGTTTGAAACAGTAAGTCATATTAGAAGTATTGCCGGGGAGGTAAACCCTCGTTTTACAATTCTTTAAGAGATTTTTGTGTTTTACTAGGATTGCAGAAAATTTCTGAACCAAGTGAATGGCATGCTTGGAGACAAAAGAAGGTAAAAATGGATGGGTTTTTTTTAAAGCTAATATTTTCTTTTGGGTATTTTACTTCATCACTAGTAACCTTTGTATCAGAAAAACTGTTTGGGGGAATCTTTAAATTAAAACAATAGAAGCAAATAAGAAAGTTCAGGTACCATGTAGAGTTAGGATATTTTTATAATATTCTATAGTAAAGAAATTGAGTAATACCATCTTCTGGCACATTGTCACTGATCCTGTCTTCTCTATGAAGTGACTGCTCTTTCAGCTGCTGTGATCTCAGTCTCTAAAGCACACAAGTTTTCTGCTGAAAGCACAATTCAGTTGCTCTGTTCAGATGTGCAAAATTAATTTATAGCATTTTAGGATCCTTGACAAAATATCTGTTTCTTACAGGGTTTTTACATATCCGTGTTTATCAGCAGCTCTTGATAAATATGAGGTAAGTTACAGGCTTAATCATATATCCACAGATTTTCATTTGTACAGCTGAGGAGTTTCTTTGCCTTCTAGTTACGAAAAAAGAAAGATCAAGTAAGAATTTATATTTTTTTCAGGAGAATACAGATGTGCATGTATTCAAAGTTTGTGAGATTGACACAAAGCCTGTTAGCTGGTGTAATTCATTGCTCTCAGCTCTTACTTGTTGGTCTTAACCTTTTGTTTTAGCTACAGATACCATTGGATGAAAATCTCGAAGAATTTTGGGTTGATTTCAATGTCGGTAGCAGAAGTATATCCTTCTATGTGGCAGCAGATGATGCAGTAAGTTAATTTTTTTTCTGTCATACTACATCGTTTTAGGGCAGTAGGTACACATTCATCCAAGTCTGTTAAATTTGTTTCCCCACGTCAGCGTCTGTTTGCATCTGTAGTGTGAAGGGAAAAAAAAAATCTAGATTTAAGTCTACATATTTAGATCAACCAATTTCAAAGTAATGACTTTATAGTACTGTTTGCAAACAGTTTAACACGCACACATGAACAAGAAGCCATTTATAAAATTGCGGTTTTAATTCTGGTGGATGAGACTGAACTGTTTAGACTAATATCTCTACCAAACCTTCTCTGAAACATTATTTGCTGTTACCAGCAAAACAGATATTCAGTATCAGTCCTTGTAAGAGGATTTCAAAAGGTGAAACATCTGTCCTCACTGAATAACTTTCAGATTGCTGCACTTCGTTGAGTTGTAGTATACTGCTTCTCTAGCTTTAAAAATGTGTGTTTTTCATGTAAGGATCATCAGTGGGAAACAGTCATTATTCCAGAAGAAGAGGTAGACCTGTACAGCCTTGAAGGTATTGGGACTCGGAAATGGGACATTTTGTTACACACTAACTTGGATTTTCAAATTGATTAATTGAGAATGAGACAGCACTTTACAGCAAAGCAAAATTTGCATTTAAAATATTATAGTTCCTATTTTTATCACGGGTAAAGTTGCACTGCAGTGACATTTGCAATTTAGGCATGTAGATGTGACTTTTATTAATAAAATTTTAAAATAATATCTTATTCAGCATAAGACAATGACATTTAATAACGTTCCTTTTAAACTAGTTAGAATAGTTTTGTAAATATCTATAATCCGTAGCTTTGGTAAATAAACTTATTGCAGGATAATATAAAGAGTAGGTATTTCTGAAAGTTTGAGTCCCAAGTTGTTTTCACTAATAAAATTTATTGTAAGAGTGAATTAAATAAAATAATAATAATTGAGCTGAAGAATAAAAGTAAGGTTTATGTATTTACAAATATTATATGAAGTGTTGTTAAATTATAATTTTTCATTTTTTCTTTTTTTCCCAGAAAAAGATTCAAAGAAATTATTAACAATATGTCTAAAAAGCCCAATGAGTGTGGGTAATCAAGAAGGAGAAATTTTTTTTTTATATTTTGATTCTATCTTGGAGATCAAAGATGCAACTAAAAAGATTTATGGATCTAGTAAATGTAAGGTAGGATTTAAACCCCTTTTCTAATGTTTTTGTAATTGATTTAAAATAAATGTCTCATGGCTATATAAATGTTGTTATAGCTGTGATTATAGGTATTTGTATATACTGAGAGCTTCTGATTACATTTTTAGGCAGACAGAGCTTACTCCCTTACTACTTATAACAAACTGAACTCCAACCAAAGAACTGACAAGGAATGGAACTGCTATGAGCTTGTAGAATCTACTTTCACCTATAACCTGATTTCAGATAGTTATGATCTCTGACTTTAACATTTTATTTCTGTTTCTTGTTTAAAAAAAAAAAAAAGTGAGCCAAGTATGTATTTTACAGAGGTGGTTACTCCCTTTATAGGGCTTTGCTAAGAAGCGGTCTGCGTCAGTCGCCAAAACAGTGGTACATGTCGTCTTTGATGAAAGTGGATCTCAGGTATTGTACTTCAGTGTGCCGAGATGGTTGTTTTCTTCCGTTTTTATATTTAGTCTGATTTTGTTAGTTCACCATAAAATGCCAGTAAGTAAATATAACTCAAAAACCAGTTTAGTGATTCCTAGTAAGTATGTGTTGTATATTTGGGTAGAGAATAACATTAAGACCTGGCCTCAAACTGGAACAATATCCAAATTGGAATATTTCAGACAGATACACACAGAGCAACTTCTTTCCTGTGAGTTGTTATTCAGGAACCCGTTCTTGTTAGCAGAAATAACAGCCTGGATGCTTTTCAAACTAAAAGTGTATAAGCTCTGAAGTTTATAAAAGTCTATAGTGAGCTGTGTGTTAGCTAGAGTAGAAAAGTTGCTCTGTTTGTGTTTGTATAAATACAAAATACAAGGTACAATAAATACAAATATTATATAAAAAATTTTAAAAAATCAAAAATGTTATATAGGTTCTGATACCAGAAAGTCAATTATCACCACATTCGGAAGAAAAATCTGAAGAGGCAAAAGCCAGTAAGTACAAACCACAGCAACTTTCTGGAACTTTGAAGACTCAGAATAAAAATAGCAGTCAAGAAAAATGCAAAGATGACTCCTCCAAGGTGAGCAGGATTATCAAAACAGAAAAGAGTACATAGAAAATACACTCAAATTTTAATTATTTATCATATTTTATAATATAATATAAAAACCTTGATATTTTACAATTGCTATCTAGTTAATAGAGGGTTTGACTGGTTTTCTTATAACTTGATACTAAGCTATATATATTCATTTGCAAAAAAAAATTCTCAATGTTGAAATTATAGCAGTGTGACAAAAAGGAAAAGCGGTTAAGGTTCTTTAGACCGTTATGCTCCGAGAATTCTCTTTAAAGAGAAATGTTTCAGGACATGCTTAGATCTCTTACGATGTGCAAAAGTCTAGTATAGTCTCTGGAGACTTACTGGTTATAAATATGGTTATGCTAGGACTGACTACAGATCTGCTGGGGCTGGGGGAAAAGATGTCACCATGCCTTCACCTGCCACAGCCGTGCAGTGCCACCTTGCTAGCAGTTGTCTGGGAAACTTATTCCAGAGATTCTGCTGGCTTATTGCTTATGCACTTGTGCAACATCAGTTGACATCCCAATAACAGAAACTGTCAAAAGGCTCTTGGATATAGATTTTTTTTTTTTTTTTCCTAAAACCTTGTGTTGTCATCCTTAAATCTTTGTATTACGGTCGAGTTTCTTCTGTTCCTCAAGATAACTACGTCTTGTAAAAGGAAAGTGTCTGAAGCATCCATGCTTATTCCTGGAGCTGCAAGATGTTGCACAAAGAATCCACTGGTATTTGTTAGCACATGTAAGTTTCCAAGTATTTTTAGGGTAAAAATATGCTATAAGTTGTCTGCTTGCTACTGCTCGATAGAGGTGCTGCAGGGGAGTAGCTGCACGTACTTTCCAAACAGCTGAAGGCCACCTGCTGTGTTTACTGCTGCTATCAGTCAGCTGGGTGTGCTGGAGCAAGCTGGGAAGTCGGCAATTGATAAGAAAACCTAAAACATAGTTTTGGGGTTTTTTATCTCTCTCCTAATATGCTTTTGGTTTAAAGAATTTTCAGCACTTGGAGCTTTTATAGCAGTTGCATTAGAAAAGTCAGCGATGCCCAATGTGTACATCTATTGCTTCTGTTTTTACCTTGAAATTACATTTGTTTCTTCAAGGAGTGATTGATCGCAGAATCAGAGAACGTGTGGGGCTGGAAGGGACCTTTAAAGGTCACCTAGACCAACGCCCCTGCAGTGAGCAGGGACATCTTTAACCAGATCAGGTTGCTCAGAGCCCCATCAAGCCTGACCTTGATTATGTGGCTGGTGAGCAAGGTGGGATCCTCTGCAAGGCTGAGTCACAGGTCTAGTGCTACTGAGCTTACACCAAAAGTGCTTCTTGCGGAGCAAAGTATAACAAAGAGACTTTATCACTAATAGGAGTCATCACTTTCCTACCAATAGTCTTACTGTAACAGTTATTTAATGCTTAATATTTTCTATGAGGGAGAGGTTTGTAAGACAAAGACTAGCAGAGGCTGAAGATGCAGCTGGTGGCAGAACAGCATGACTAACAAATTTCTTGCTTTGACTGTCTCAATTGCATCAGTACCCTTAGTTATGTATATCCATGTATCACGTGTAAACTAAGAGTAACAGGGACTGGAGAAGAAAGCATTTTCAGATTATGATGGAGCGAGGCAGAGAACTTGTGTGATTTTTTTTCTTATTTGGAACTTAACCACACAGTCTATTCCAGCAAAAATATATTACAGCAAAATCTTCTAATGGGTGATCAACTCTTTTCTGCCAGAGCCAGGCTGTAAATCACATTGCTTGCCTCCAGACATCCGCGCTCTATGGGCTTATTAACCTGCAGGTAACTTAAGTGAAGCAAGTAGAATTATAAAAGGTACATAATGCATTGATGTAAATACTAACTAACTAGTTTTAAAGTTTATAGTATAGAGGTGGTGATGGGCAAAACTCTTCGTATCAATGTTACAGGCCAGTAATTGTAATAGAAAAATAGTAGAGTTCTAACATGTCTCTGGTTTGTTTTCAGCCACTCCTTTTAAAGGACGGTTTAAATTACCCTTGGAAATGATGAGATCTGCTGAAAGGTCCAATAATAATAGTGCCCTAAATGAGACTGGAAAGAAGAATTTTGGTCAAGAATCTACTGGAGCATGCATGCCATCTGTAGCTAAGTCTTTTATTTAGAATAACATTAATTTCTATTTTACTTTGTTCCTAATTCATATGATAAGTTCATTCTAAGATTTCTGCTCTCAGCAACTCACTTTTAGGAAGTAATGTGGTTTACTGCTTAATGTTTTCTTGTACTCTGGATTTTGGGTTTAATATGTCTAGTCAGACTGAAGTCTTACAAAATTAGCTAAAATTGGCATTCGCTCATCAGTTTTGACCCCAGAGTTAACTTGCTTTTACTAGAACCACAATTCTTCCTTCGTGTATAATATGAAGCATATGCACAAAATTTCCAATTAATTTTGTGGTGTATGAAAACATGCAATACATTCAGCTATAGCTGTGAAATGTTAATGTCTTCAGGTTGTAGCATTTATAGCTTTGCTTTTAGTGAATTTTTAATCAGGCATTCACTAAAACCAAACAAAACTACATTAGTGTCACAACTGCAGTTTGAGTATGTGTAATTTTGCTTCTGTTCCAGTTGAACAAAAACTTTAAGGTAACATTTTTATTGTATTTCTGGTTCTAAATGTCTTCTGGGATCAAACGCAGGTCAAATCCCATATTTTATAAAAAGACTTGAACGTATAGAATCTGTAGTTTATAATATTTCAAGTGTTACTTTCTAGGAGAATTTTACTTCTGCTTTTATGAACTGTAATTGTCAGTGTTATTTATTTTGCTGCTTAGAGTGGGCAAAGATGTGCAGCAGACAATGAATTTTGCGAAACAGAACAGAATATTGGGAAGTCAAATACCAGAAATGAAGCAAAACAACCTGAAAAGGTACTGGAATCGACACTTCTATGAAATGAAAAAATAATTTCATGTTTTGCTAGAGACAATACAAGTGTGTGAGGCTATACTGCTTATAGTCCTACACTAATCTGTTCTTCTGGGTGTTATCCAACTGTAGCAAATGCATGCTGAAGAAGTTTTAGGAATGATGCAAGAGGGAGAAATGGAGGGCACGCAAAAGCAAACTTTAGGCAAGTAGTTTTACAAGTGTTGATAGTCCTTACTTTTAAAATTATTTTAATTTTGTCTATTTCTTTTGTAATGAGAATTGATACCAAGTTAATGTCTCATTTAGATGAAGCGTTAGATGTTGTTCCTGATTCCCAGCCAGTAGGGAAAAGCAACAAAGCTGTGTAAGTATTGGAGAAGAATACTAAGTTACTGTTGTCACTCACTATGAAGGGAGTGTTTTCAAGTATTGCTGGCATTGAAATTTTGTTGCATAGTTCCAAAAAACACCAGAATTTCGTTGTCCTGTCTTGCCTGGGAGTTATATTAAGAACTGTTGGCTGTGTAAGTCAGGTTGCTTTTATTATGTCATTTTGTGTTATTATTCTGAAATTCCTGGCACCAAACCAGCACTCTTATGTGTGTTTGCTAAGGCTGCTTCATGAACAATACTGTTGTTTTCTTAATCAAAGACTTTAAATTGGTGAATGTGTTTGTGGAAATAGTACTCATTAAGAAGATCAGAGTAGGAGTGTAAGTTTTAGTAGGAGCAAGGAGACTAATTCTTTCAGACGACATCAGAAGGTCAAATAGAAATGACTCACAGATTTATGTAAGGGAACTGTGCCATAAAATGTGGTAGATTTGCCGTGCCGCAGAGTAACCTACGTTCAGAGGTTAAGGATGGCCATAGGCGGGTGTTGCCTTTTTGAAGTTGATTTAAATGTGTGTGTATATATGTTATTGCTGGAGCCTTGCCATTTGACAACGTGTTGGGTAATTGAACGATGGTCGCAGGCTTGGCTGCCAATCTAAAACGCACTGATGTCTAGCAGATCACACGATTTTCCTATTTTGTGATGGATGCTTATTATAATTAACACTCGCTTTCTGCAATTCACCGATAAAAAGATGTTACCTTTGTTAGGCTGTCGGGTCTTTTGGAGAGTTCTTTTGATAAAACCAGGACGTGGAAAAAAAGAGCATGCTCTGTTCCTGAGAAGAATATAACAACTGGTAACAAGCAAAAGCCAAATCCTTCGTTGACGCGTACATCCCATCCAGGTTACGATCACACTTCATTCACTGGGAGTGTTAAAAATGTTCCGCATTAATTTTTTAACCTACAGCCCTATGTTATTTTCTATTGTTAGTGAAAGAGCTGTGGAGAAAAAGCATTTATTTTTTTAATTATTTCTTCAGATAAACACAGAAATATAAAAAAGTTAAGAAAACTAAGAAAATTTAAATTGATACCATGGGGGAAGAAAACTGCAAAATACTTAACGGACAGTCAGGAGTGCTGCTAATTTGTAACAGAAACTGTTAAGTACAGAAGGGAAAAATATTTAAACTACTACTGAAACATCATTTAAAACATTTCTTTCAGCTAGAACGTTTGAAACATCTTTGCATTCTGATTTTACAAAAGAGGAACCTGATGCTCCCTTTGCGAAAGAGGCTGCAGATCCAAAACAATCCAAGGTGGTGAGAGTTTGCCTTCATTTCTTTTGCTTGCAATTAAGAGAACTGGCAAATTTTCAGTGTTTCAGAAGCTGTATTTTACTTTAATTTAGTCATAAATTATTTTTAATTCATTTTAATGCCAAGTGTCAGCTTTACTCTTTTTCAGTATGATCTATTTAAGTTTAGTTTACTTTGAATTTCTTTTTAGAAGTCATCTTTTAAAAAATTAATTCTGAAATAAGCACCAATTTGTGCTTCTCTTATGCTGCTTCATTCACTTTTGAATATAGTATGCAAAGACACAATATTTAAAAGAAAATATCTGGTAAACTATTTTTCCCTGTTTGGGCAATGCAAGGGAAGGTAGTTTTCAAAGGAATGTGATTCAATACATGTAGAAGATACTTAATGAAATTTAGGTGATGCTGGGAACGTGTAATTCCATTTCCAGCTTCGCCCTTCTGTTGAATGGATTCAAAATTGAGCCATAAACTCTATTTTTATAGAAAAAGAAGTCTAAGGATATGACAGATGCAGCAAAATCACTAATTAGTAAAATCAGTGACAGATACAAAGCCAAGACAGATGAGAAAAGCAAAGCAAGAGACTCCTTGAGTTGTAGCAGGTATGATGTGAACTTTATTATTTTTTGTTTGTTCTTTCTGTGCATGTGGCTTTGATCTACTCCTCTGTGACAGTTTTGTCACATCCTGCTTTCATTTGAATAGTTCTTTTAACTTCTGATAAACCCCGTTGTACCAAAGAATAGGAGACCGGTAGTCAAATAGTTCCAGGAGTTGAAATAACTACAGTGGCTGTTAGAAACTCTTTTCAGTGGTCTGTCATTCATTTGTTCCCAACATATTTCATGGTGAGAAATTAACTGGGATAGTTCATGGGCACGTATTGGCTGTCTCCATCCTGTCATCATAGTTTGGGGATCAAACTTGGATTGAAGCCATCAATTTTCTGATTATCTAAAGTTTCTAGTTCTCTCTTCCTAAAAGAGTTGGCTGTGAAGAGAGTTTAAATGTAACAAATCCTTAAATAAGAAAAAAAGGTTTCCCTTGCTGGAACGGATGCTTTACGTATAGCCATGTGCTCTCTGTGTTTGGCGGTAAGAGGACGACAAAGGACGGGGGTAGTTAGGCTACGGCAACTCTTAAACTGTTTGGACAGCGACCTAGAAGACAGGCAGAACCTGCAGTGTATCTAAGTGATCTGGAATGAATTTTTCTAGAGAACAAAAATGAAAGATGCTGATCTCTTTTAATCTACTTGGGTTTGTATGTAAATGCCTGAATAAACTTGTGTTTAAGGCTTGTATTTACATAAGTAGTATTCTAATGCATGTGTTGTAAATAACCTTTAACAAAAGGTATGCTTATGTTTTAGGTCACTTTTAAATAAATCCAGTGTCTCCAAGGTAAAATATTACTGCTTTTGTTGGAAATTTTATAGTATCAGATACATAAATCTAGATATACGGTGGCAGCCTGTAGGTGTAGAGTGAAAATTTCCCAAATATCGCTGAATGTTAAATATCTGTAGACGTTTAGACGTTAATTATGCATTAACTATATATACTTGAAATACTTTCTAGATAGTTACTTAGGTGGAATAATATTTGTACAGGCAACTCTAAGCTAGTGAAACCCAAGTTAATTTTTGTTTCCATATTATATAACTGCATTTGTTCTTTTTGGACATGGCAATGCTAAATATTTAGAATAAAAATGCCGTGTTAAATGAGATTATAGAGTCCTAAATGGGTGATAGCCAAGACACAGAAATCAGTCTGAATGTTTGAGGGGAGGAGGGAAATTCTGAGGTTTTATTCTGATGTTGTTAAAGGATAAAGTCTAAAATACTTAGTTTCTACTATTTGCATACTGTAGTGTTGCTAATTAAGTGGAAGTCTGAGCAGCTGCTGGGATTTTTCATAGGTTCATGGTGAAGAACATGCTTTTTGAGGTGACAACATGTGTGAAAATACAGTCCTAATTTGACCTTATTATTAACTTATGTATAGGAAGAAGTTTGGGATAGAAACCTGAAAACTAGTACTTTTCTTAATATGACTGCAGGTCATATTATGTAAGTAGTTAAAACATTTTCAAAGAAAGTTTCCAATTGTTCTTACCTAACTTTCTGAAATTTTTGTTAGTTCTGCCACAAAACTGATCTCTGTGCCTGTTTGACAGGAATGATGTCTACAACTTTAACATCAGTGGGTCCGAGGAGCCTACCATAAAGCTTGGAGTAAGAATATAACAAACTAATATGTTATGAATAAGAGCATAAAGGAGCTCAGTCAGATTATGTCTCCTGAAAGTATCGTTAACATCTAAAAATTCAAATTACAGCACTGAACTAAGGCAGAGGGGGTGAAGTTTGCCATGGAAATAGCTCCGTCGCTTTGAAGTGTATAATGAGATACGCTGCCTTAGGTTTCTGGCCACGTAAAGCTATTGTGATGTATTCATGTATTAAGAATAAAGCAGTTTGTTAGCAATGTCATTATTTTTAAAGTATCCTATTATCCCCAACGTATTATTGCCATCTTTCAAATCCCCATTGTAAAGACGTCTTTGCTCACATGTTTGAATAAAAAGACCATCTAGCTGAGATAAAAGCAAAAGACAACAAAAAAGTTTTGCGTCTTATGGCTCAGAGGAGCCTGCTCTGTCAGTGAGGACAGTGAAGCGAGTGGGTGGAAACTAATGTAGTAGTTTGAGATATTGAAAGCTTCAATCAGTTCCAGGTGATTTTAACTGTCAGCTCTGTTCTTAAATAATTTCTGAGACATAAATTAGTTTTTGTAGCTTAATTGCTGAGTAAAAAAACTGAGCAAAAATACCCCTTAGCTGTTACTCTCAGGTGGCCTGTTTAATTTTGTGCAAAAATTGTGTAACAAATAAAAACCTTCATTTGTTTCTCATTTATTTGTATTTTTAGATCCCAGAATTGCATGTTACTGAACCGAGCGTTCGTACAGACCCAAAGAAAAAAGGGTAGGGCTGTCACGTTGTGTTGTAGTCTGCTGATTGCCAGTACAGTACTGTCTGCTGTTAAGAAAATCCAGAGAATGTGTGTGTGCCAATAATATCTTGATTATGTTGTTTTTTCAGGCAATATACGTGGCTGCTGTGCTCTCCTAGATTTTTCTTTTGAGTAGCTGATAAAAGAGAATGTGTTTCCTGAAAAGAACAGCTTTAGTTCTCTTCGTGCAATACTACAGGGATATAAACTCCTAATAAAGAGGGGTCATTTTTTGTTAACGATCGGCCTGCGAAAGGTGTTCTGACCGTTAGCAAACAAGTACATCCTTCAGGGTTTAAGATGAACAGATGTTGCCAAAATGGATGTGAAAACTAAAGCACATACGTTTGTTTGAGTTCTTAATTCACATGTTGCATGAATAGTAGAAAGATTAGGAGCAAGTATTTTTAAATGTATTGTTTAAAGGTGTTTTTTCTTTTTCTAATTAAGGAATGCAGATGATAGTAAAACTAGCTCTGAACTGAAAGGAAGGAAAAAAGTAAGGCTGAGATTTTTGTGGATTAGTATATGTTGTCTTCCTGTCTTTAAATACCACTTACTCGTAATATACCTTTCACTTATGTAAATCAGTAACTTAAGAACTCCTTGGGGTTTTTTGTAGACTAGAAGCAATCAAAACAAGAAACATCTCTTTAGTGACACAGACACAGAATACAGAGGTGATGACAGCAAGACAGAGATCAGCTGGCTACAAGAATCAAATAGAAAACCTAAAGCCCAGTTAATTGATTACAGTAGAAATAAAATCTCAGGGAAACCAATAAGCACAGAGAAAAGTAAGACACGTTTTTATGTTTTTTAAGAATGCGGCAATAAGTTTGTTCACAGATATTTATTACACAGCATGTAAGGTGCTGTGTGGCAGATACAATATGTTTTTGTTGTCTTATTTCCAAGCATAAGAAATTTTCAAGTTAGTGCTAATAATTTATAGAGGTTCATTTTCAGAAAGTCTGTATTTTAACATGGGAAATTGTTGGAGGGTGTAACAGGCAGAGCTTCTTGTCAACAAAAACCTCTTTGGCCATTTAAAAGAACGTGCAGAAAGCAGTTTACTGAATCAGCAATTTTGTGGACGTAAAAGTAATTCTGTGATTTTACAGCTAAAACTCTAAATGTCAAACATTGACTATTTTGCTGATATTTCTAATGTTTTAGGTATTGCAACAACAGATAAATTTCCTGAACCTGCTGGCCCTGTGGGTGAACCTAAAGGCAAAAATGCAAAGAAGAAAAAGGTAAATGTAGATTTGCAACCAGATTTGTAAGATGTCTTCACTCACTGCAGAAGCTGTTTTTAAATAATTTTTCCTAGGCTTCAGCTGAAGATGGGAAACTTCCACTGAGAACTTGCTTTGCTCTGTTTCTGAGCTGTGTCGGGAGGGTGGCAGTAGTTAGGTGGTAGAAGGGGAGCAGGGGGGAAGGAAGCCAATTCCCGTCTAGTGGTTAAGGTAATCGCTTCAGAGGTGATGATCAGTGATACTAGTTCCTGCTCACTGCCCAGGCTTTTGGTTTGGTTCTATTTCAAACCAATTAGACTAATTTAAATGTGCACATATTTGAGAGAGGAAGCTTTGGAAACGCTCTTCAGCTTTGCTGTGGCTCAAAAATGCATTTAAATTGCCTCTTTGCTTTTTTGACCGTTACATTCCTGACTGCACTGTGCGGTATCTACAGTGAAAATTCTCTTCCCAACGTGCTTAGGAGACTGATGGTTGGACTCTCTGAGCTTTGGTAAAGTTAAACTTTTTTAGACGTTGTGAAAGAATGGATTTCAAGTAATTAAACCTGCCATTTATTCTTACCTATTATTTATTAATTGTTCTGATATAAGCTGGACATGGTTTTTTTTCTTCCAAAGATAAACAAATGTAAAAAACAGAATTCAACAGCTGATGAAACAGTAGAACAAACCACCAGACAAAAACGACCTCGAAGAGCTACATTAGCAAAAAATTACAAAGAGCCTTCCAGTTCAGAGTCAGAGAGTGAAAGGAAATCTCCAGCACGCACCTCTAAGGAGGAGAAATCAAAAATACAGGTATACAGTTGCACTTTCTTCTTTAAAATCCACTTCTGGCATGGTTTTCAAAATAAACTCTGGTCTACTTTGTACTTAGTACTCCTGAATTTCAAGTGCCCAACATGAGCAAGTTGAACTGACTCTTATTTAGTATTTCTAGTAGTGCCCTTTTTGAATTTTGAGCATTTAGCTGCCAAGAAAATCACTCCCAGATCATCTTCTCAGTCATAATAGTACTTAAGTTTCTATTTATGAAATTTATTCTGCTTAAAGGACTGTGTCCTTTATTTTAAAAACTTAATGATATTTTGAAAATGTCTATCAAATGGGAGGTTTTAGTGAGCCAGATTTTGATTTTTTAGATAATATGACTTTTGATAATGCAATGTCTACTCGGTATACAGTAGAAAATGGTGACTTGAGAGTGGGTACATCAATACAGTTGCTCACTATCCAAATAGGCTTTTTAGTAAATGAAGCAATGACACTGGGTGCTAAAGCATTTTCTTTCTTTTAGCACAACATTTTGGTGTATATGGATAGGTCTGTAAATTTCATTGTTAAATCCTAAAGCATTGATAATTACCTCCAGTAGTTAAGAAATTCATAAGAATAGAAATGTAGGTACTGAATTAAACAAATACTATGCTTAGTGATATTAGAACACCTGATGTCCTTATGAATTTCAGTACTTCTGGTGATGCTTCTTTTTGTACCTTCGGCTTTTCCAACTTTACATATAGATAATATGCTTTTACCTGCACATGTATGTATACATGTCTATATGTTTACAAAGAATGTTTATATAAATGTTGTGTTTTAATAGAAACATATGAATGGGAAAAACAAGGATGATAATCAGCCAAAAGAGTTCCAGAACACTGTGTATATAGAGCCAAAGAGAGTAGCTAGCTCTGTGCAAAAAGCATATATTAAATCAAATAATTCTGCAGAACGAAAGGAAAATGAAGTGCCTTCATCTGAGAGTCCTGCATCTCTTGAGACGATGAGATGTATGTATTTTGACTTTTAAGTTACAGTAATGCTGTATCGGAAGTTCGAGGTTAAGTGAGGATTATCCAGTAGTTCAATTTTACATTTATTTCCTGCTTTTAAAATAATAACCCGTAATTCAATGTGTACCACGTAATTTAAGGAAGTGTATTAATATGTCACTGACACTTCTATAGGTTGGTACAGTTATTTGACATGAGCATAACCTAGAAGTGCAATACACAAGTGTTACAATGAAACTGGTAACTGCTAAAGAAGGGAGGAGATTGTTGGCACACAACTTGCCAAGTTTTTTTGCAAAGTAAAATTCTACCCATCTGAGACTTGCAAATAATGCAGAGTTGGAACAGTTAGCACTTTGGGGCTTTAACTTACCTTTTCCTCCTTTGATTCCTCATGCTGCCAGCTGAATAACTGTTTCCTAGGTGCTGAAAGAACATCAGAGGGAGATGTTAGTGAAGAGCATATATACAGTGAAAGATCACCTGACCTTGAGGAGTCAACACCAGAAAAGAGGGCAACACTGAGCTTCAAGAAAGGAATCTCTCCCAATAATTTCTGCTCACAAAAAAAGAGTATTCCAAGTGTACATCTACATGAGTCCCCTGAGACGACTGTTAAAAAGTTAACGTTTGGAAATAAAATTTTCTCACCAGTTTTATCTGAAGCATCTTTGGTAAGAATGTTAAGGTTACCCTGCAGTTGTTTTAACTGAAATTGTTCCCTTCAGCTGCTACCTTTACACTTTTGTACGTCTCCTTTCAATAGTGATTTTTTTGTTAATGTGTAGTTCAGCTTAACGACGCATAAAACTGTCGGTGGACATGCAAAAGGATCTCTATCTGAAACACGTTTTAATCATGAAGATTCAAATTTCAGACATCAATTTTCAGACATACTTTCTGTTAAGGAAAAACTACAAGATGTCACTGGACCTATCACCGGAAGTAAAAAAGAGGTATGTTACTAAGTCCTTTGGCCTTCAGAAGAGAGATGGAGATTTTTGTCTATTTTATCTACTTTACAAATGGTGAGGTTTAAGGAAATGCATCTTTCTTAATGTTAAAACACTACAGATAATGTCAACTTGTGACCAACTTGGAAGATCCTAGTAGTTGATTTTTTAAATATTTGAGATAAATTAGGGAACTGTTTATCATATGGATACAAGGAAAAAGTTGTAGCCCAACAAAATCAATTGTAATTAATATCTTAACAAATAACAAGGAGTAAATATTTTCTTTTTGACTGTAAATGAGAAACAAATGAATTTTCACCAATGAGATAATTGTGAACTCTGCATGGAAAAATTCTTCAGGTGAAAAAGTGCTCTACTATTCCAGCATTACTGCACTACTCAACATAACAACTCTTGTAGCACTGGCAAATAAATAAAAACTGATGTGTACCTTCAGACCACTTGTAATAAGTACTTTTTCTGGTGGAAAAAAATTACCTAATGACCCCTTTAAGTAATAATTTTGTGGCCTATTGCAAGAAAGTTAGTCCTTATTGGTCATTCGACTTATTGCTATCATTAATTAATAATGTGGTGATGATTTTGTTCATTCTTTCATCTAGTGAGACCTCGTAGCAATTCATGCAGTGATTTGGGGTCTTTTGTTATTGTAGTTGTGTTGGTGTCCCTAGTTTAGTGAAAAGCAACATAAATGTGGATTTTTAAAGACTTCTAAAAGTGCTTTAATGTGGACATTAGTAAATCAGTAACTTTTCTTTTAGGATTGTGTTCCATCTCCACTGTCTGTTTCCAGTGGAAGTAAAGAACAGTCTTGGAGTGAAGAACCATGTGGCCCCGTACATGAGTCAGGTAAAAACATTTAAATTAAAGCAAAAGACTTCCTATACGTCTCCATAAAGGTTAGGAAGGATGTTTTGTTTGACATAAAAATATGACCCGAGTTTTTTAATGTTGTTTTCTTTCATATATTTTCAGTAGTATCCTGTCTTTACTCTTTTTCTTGTTTTCTCTGCTGTTATAATCCCCCCCAAAAAACTGAAAATCGGGCTCCAAAATACAGTTACTGTGAAGAATGAGTTGCACCTTTTATAAAAGGAGTTAGAAGCATTCCCAATGATACTGGAAAAAAGTGTGGATAACGGTATTGTCAGGAAAAGAGGGTTTAGGGTGAATCTCTTTAACGAGCAAGTCTTGCATAGCTCAGAGGTTCTGTGTTCCATTGAAATCCTGCTCTTAATTTACTTCCAAGTTCCCACATTACCGAACGTGTCCTCCGTAAATATAATGCACGTTAATTTTTGTGTAGTTCTTGAGCTTTAATGGGAAGCCACATACTCCTAGAGCTCAGATCCAAAGCGTCAGTAAACTCTTCCTGTATCCTCTCATGTTATTGTTCTAAATACAGTCATAAAACTAAGCAGTTTTCATTTTTATTAAAGGACCAGCTATACAGACATCTCTCAAACGAAGGTACCACAGTGATACAGAAACGAATTCTGATGAAGCAGAAACAAGCAAAGAGGAAGAAAAGAAAGGAATCAGAAGAACAAAGTTACAGCCTAGAAAATTATTTAAAACAGGTGATGCTGTTACTTACAGAGGTTAGTTATGGAGTGACTACAGTTGTGCAGAAGTTTAAAATAACGTAACAAAGTTTTAACTAGAAAAGATAATATCCATTAAAAAGCATTTTACACGTTTTAGAAAAGAAAAAGAAATGCTAAATATTTAGAGACTGTATCAGTTTAAAAAGTCAGAAAATTGATATGAAAATAGAAACGGATCTGTGTATAACAAAAGCTGTTCTAGGCCCTGTTGTAACTTCAGACAGGACACTTTCTCATACTGAATTGTGATGTTACCTTCTTTTACTTCTCTTCAGTGTCTGAAAGCTTATCTACAGTCTCTGTAAATGATCTGTCAGTTTTGGATGGGGACATCTGGGACCCTGATTGTTCAGCTGTCGGTATATGTCAGAAGCTCCAAAAAGAAGTTACCAAGAAAATCGAGGCAAGGCATTTCAGATACATTATTAGTTGTCTGTGTGGGTACATGTGCATATGAATAATCACTTGTGTTACACCACAGAGTTTGCTTAAAAGGACATGACAATAGCTGTGTGCATAATACCTTGAGAAATGATAGAATTCAAGTTTCAATTTATGCCTTTTTCAATTCGTTATGTACCTAACTCTCCAATGATTTTCTTTCCCAGGTCTGTTTTATTGTTTTATCCTGTCTATCATTTCAAAACAAGCTTATATATCTAAAGTAATGAGCCTACTGCATTTTGATTTATTTTTCTTTCAAATTATCAAACCCATATTAGCAAAAAGGAAAATATGATCCTGAATAATGCATTTGTTCATCCAAGACAGCAGTAGGTACACATCGTTCATTCCATGTGTACTTTCTCTATTTTGAGGAAATATGTCTTTTGAATAATGAACTTCTAATTAAGTTAGGTAGCGTTTTATCAAAACCATAACTCCATGTTTATTTACATTTCAGTCATGGAAGGCTTTTCCTTAAAGAATAGGGAGAAAATTTTTAACACTATGTTTTCTTTTCTTGGCATGATCTGTGATGCTAAGCAATTACAGTACTAAACATACTACAAGTTCTCTTTTCCTAAAGGGAAAATAATCTGAATTTAATGTTAAAATATCCTTATAGAGCCGCTCACGGAAAATGGATCATTTTACTAAGCAATCATTAAGAGCTGCCCATCAGCATTTGACAACAATGAGTTACCAGCTTCATGAGTGCAGGTCTGTAATGAAAGATTTATTTTAAAGCATCCTTAAAATGCAATTAATACCATCTAAAAGTAACTCATTTTGTTTTGGTAGGATCAGGCAGCTGGACAAATTTCATTTTGCTCTCCTTGAGGAACTTGAGAATTTTGAAAAAGATTCTCAGTCCCTGAAAAACATGGAAAAAGAATTCTCGGTTTGTATTTTAATTGCTTGGTCATGGAGAAACACAAATTCTTATGGAATCCATAGATTATTCATATGATCTTTAACTTAAAGTCGTTTGTTCTGATTTTAAAAGCCTTTATCCCTTTGCTTAAAGTTGAGTCAACTTGCAAATAAGGAATTTGAGATATGAGGATTGCCTAATGCTACACTCGTAGAATTTCTAGATCACCACTATATGTTCTTCTTCCTAGAATAAATTACTCCTGGTACTTTTAATGCACTGATTACCCCACTTCATGAGCCTTTTTTTTTCTTTCAAATTTTCAAACACAAGACTATATTCACTTCTTTCTTTTACTCTTCAAGGCATGACTTATGTGGAAAGGCTGATTAAAATGCTGAGCATATACTTTTTTCATTGTTTTGACCCTGTTACACAGAAAATGGAGTTTTGGTGGAACTCGTTCCATGAAAGTAGAATGCCTGAAGTGCCTCATCGTGCCGGCCAAGTTCGGGGGTTTTTTTTTTTTCCCCTCAATGCTTTGCTTTTGTGGTGGCTGTGTAACTCCTACCCGTTCTGTTCCAAGGCTGTTGTCATAGGTTATTTTATTCATATTAGGTATTAGTCAGTTTTAGCTCAGAAAATTAGTTCCTACTGATTAGTATTTATTAATATTTCTCTTTCCAGACCTTTTGGAAAAAACATACACATAGTTTTAGTGCATACATGAAGAATGAGCGTCAGAGGTTAGTAGGATTCACAAATCCTGTGTGGGGATTCGTTCTGTTTGTCTGAGGTATAAATTGGGTCAACAATTACTCTCTATGCAGATAAATAGACACATTAGATGAGATTAGAAAATGAGATGAAATGTTACATGGCAGGAGAAATGGAATTATGCTGCATCTCAATTTCTCCGTGTACCTGCTGGACTGTTTCAGTAGTAGCCATGATGGTGATATTTCTGTAGGCTTTTAAGTGCCAACAGACAACAAATAATGGGATGTATTCATGATGTGTGTGGAAAGTTCATACGTAGCAAAGCTATTTGAACTGCCCCTTATTTCTTTAGAATTCAGATTCTTAAAACGTCATTTGAAAAGAATATCTACTGTACTGTTGACTACGAAGAGCGTATCTTTACTTCAGAGGTATGATGAACTTTTGTTCCTTTCTTGTTTCTGAGAATTCTACATACCAGTATTGACTTGTTGGCCAAAGAAGGGCTTTACCCTCAGCATTGTATTAATGCCACAGAAGTATTTTTGTAGTTTTTCATTGTCGTGTGCGTCTGTATCTCTCGGTTGTAAACGATTTAAGGATGCAATTGTCTTCTTGAAAATGGGTTACCAACTGTGAGCAGAGAAGATGCATTCAGTATCTTTTTATAGATGCATCTGATGAAAGAAGACATAAAAGGACTCCAGGAGAACCTTCTTAAAGAAATGGTAAATGAAGTTATCATGTCTACATTTATACTGATTTTTAAATATAGCTATTTGAACACTAAATTACCGAAGATTGTAATTTCTCATCCACTGTCAAAAATAAAAATTAGTCAGAATCCAAGTATCACTGACACGTTGTACTTTAAACCTCATCTGGGTGATAAAAGCAGCAGATAGATATGGATTTACTGTTTTAGTTCTGAGTCTTAATACGCTGAATGGTGATGTGGAAAATTCTGATTTGATATGTTAAAAGCAGCATATACTATGCACCAGAATTACATTACATTGCTCTAAATAAAATCCATTCCTTGTGATAAATGTAATGCTTTTTGCATTGCAGCAAGAAGAGGAACTGTGTAATGTTCGCAGAGCATTGCAGACATTCTTGCAGTCAGAGGACAGAATTCTGAAGTAATATTTTCAGATCCGTTCCTGAAATTCAAGGTGAATATAAACACTCTTTTGTAATGTAAAATTCAAGAGCTTTTTACACTCAAAGAAACTATTGTAATGAAAGCATATTTTCCTTAGTAATATTAAAAGATAAGACTTCTTTTATATGTGAGATTTGGAATCAGTTTGCTGAATCTGCTAAAATGCAATATGTATTTTTTTATATTTAGCACATGCTAATTTTCAAGAAGTCTTTAACAATTTTTGTACATTATTTAAGTGACTTTCAGAGAAACCAGTTTGAATTTCCCTTTGGATCTATTTTTTGGGCCAGTGTATACAGAAGACCTCTTTTTTCTGATCCATAATATAGTCAGAAATTATTATCTCCTGTTCTGATCTCAATCCTGTTTGTCTGTGGTGTTAGTCTTCAACAGGAGTTTCCAAGAGAAAACAAAACTCTAAACACTTGTGGTTGAACTGTGTAACAAATAGTTATGTTAAATATTTCCAGAAAAAGATTATATTTTCTGTCTTGTTCTTATAAAGTGATGTCGTTACTGTAGCTCACAAATATATCCTACATACTAATACAATCTATTCCATATACTTAGGTTTCAGAAGATTTCCTAAGGAAAAGATAATTTACATTTTTCCTTTGTTGCCATGTATCAGCTAGAAGGTTTCTTCTGAATATTTATTATAGGCAACTTCTAAGCTAGTGTTTCTCTTAATTTACTTTTAAATTAAACAAAAAAAGTTACCTTGCATGTTATAGTTCCTTAGCAACCTTTTAATCTTTTTTTAATTTGCAGTCCTGCCTGTATACACTGTGTGCTTCTCAGAACAATACCTGTAATACTTTTTATTTAAGTTCTCTTTTTAAAAATGGGAAATCTAAACAGCTTAGCAAGCACCGTGTAAAGCAAGTACCAAGAATGGGCGCGGTGTCCTGGAGCTTGTCTGTTCTCCTGCCTGCGGAGCTGCCTCTTGCCCAGGGAACTGCTCCAGACTAACTCTCCAGCATCTCGGGAGCCTGAGCTCACCCAGCACCGCACCAAGACAGCTCCGCAGGTGCTGGAGCAAGGTTGAAGAGGATCCGTGCTTGTCTGTAGCTGGTGTTAGGACCACAGAGGTCTCAAAAGAAAATATTAGCCAGTTTGGGTGTAACAGCTCTTACAACTTAATTGCTTTTTAGTCCTTATTTTACATTCCTTCGCAGCTCTTCTTTTGTCCTTCGGTTGTCTTTGCTATCGTACATACTTCTCTGTTGTTCCTTCCATTACCGCCTCTGATTTTTTGCAGATTTTGAGCCTGTGATCACTGTCATCTCCACTAGATGGACCTCTTGAGATGTTCAGTTTTGGGTTTCTCTGTATGTCAAAGTTTTGGGCTTATCTGTATGTGAAACAGTACTTTTCTCTTAAATGTACAAAGTTTTAAAAGGTGAGCTGCAAGGCCCAAATTCTTTCCTTAAAGTGTGTGCGTATTGGAAGAACAATACAATTGCTATTTTTAGTGAGGATTTATGGCAAAATAGAAGTATGAAATTTTACTGTCCACCTACTAGTCTTTGCTGCAGCTCATGATCTTCCAAAGGCTGAGCTGGTTACAGTCGAATTTAATGAATGTGCGAACGTGAAGCACATCGTGAGGGAGTGTTCCCAAAGGCAAAGCTGAGTGGTTACTGACAGTGAGCACGTGTAGCTCTGAACTAGTTACAACTTTCTGTCTCTTCCCAGCCCTGAGCAGCCAGAAGGCTGGGACACCTGGCTCCACGGACAGCTGAAAACGGGGGGAAGAACCAAAGCATGTTGCTGCGTGAGGGCAAGACGTGTTAAGTCAGATTAGTAATCCAGCTCACAGGCATTGTTTATTACATTTTTCAGCATCGTTTTAATGTGTTTTATACAACATTTTTATTACCGGTGAAAGTATGCGTTGCTGCTAAAGAGGAGTGTTGCCTTCATGGATTATTAGCCAAGTTTGTAGTTAACAGGGGGTCACCTACTGTTCTCAAGCTAAAAATAGTTCTCCTGCTAAAGAAACTTTTGTCTCCTTTCTGTTTTCTCTTTTTGTATATTATTCCTGGACTACCATTATGTTGTTGTTTAGAATTAATAGTATTTTCTTAATAATAAAGTGATTTATAAATATAATTAACAGTATGTTAAAAGGCTAATTATACTGTTACATATATCCATGAAAATCTAGCAAGTTATAAAATTGCAATAAACAGGAAAAAAAACAATCTTTGGATCAAGTAATTGGGTATTTCAAGTATTCAGCTGATAGTCATGTAAGTCAAACAGAAGTTGTGCAAAATTAGAGCCAGCTACAAGGGAGCTAGCAAGCTCTGTTTGTCCTGGGCACATTATCCCAGGATTCCTCAGTTTCTTCAGACATTGCCCTCGCTGACATCTGGTTTCAGTGTTGTACCCTATGTTCTTACCTCCCAATCCTAAATACTAGTTTATCCAAAGACGAGCAGTGTATTTGTGTTATTTCATCCCCACATGGAGCAGCAGAAGAAAATTGAAACTTGTCTGTCCACTGTTTGCATTGATTCTATTCACCATCTTGCAGCAATTTAGCAGTAGTCTGTACAAACAGTTTTACATACTGTGTTTTCTTTATTTTCACATTTTGTGTAGATCAACTCAATGATGCTACATCGAGAGGGCTTTTCCCAGTTCTTAACACTGAACGACTGCCCAAAAGGATGGCGTTTAAGACTCTTGCAGAGAAATTTTTTTCTTGTGATTGTATGTGTCATTGCGGTGTTTTGTCAGGCACACCTTCCAGCTACCCGTGTATTCTTTTTTTTTTTCTTAAGTTCTTCCTTTCAGTAGTATTTTGAGTAGAATTCGCAGGTGCTTTCTTCAAGCATTATTAGAATATTTGGCTTTACATTTTTCTCAGTTAGTTCTATTTGCTTTGTTATTAGCATTTAGTAACTTTTTTTTCTTCCTACTGCCAAGAAAGCATTAAATTCATTTGTTTGCTAAGCATCACAGTACATTGTTACATTTCTGTCTGTTGTTGTCTAGTTTAGCAATTCTGAATGAGAACAACAATGAACTTAATTGTCGTTCTTGAGAGAGCTGGAACCTCAACAAGTGTAGAATGACAATCATGTTGTGCTGGTTAGGATCTGGTCCAAAGCATCAATATTGCACAAGGTGGAAAGCTTAGTTAAAATCCTCCTTCTGACTCTGTGTTGGTAAAGAACTGATATGATCTGATGCGTAATAATTGTAATCTCTTCCCTTCCCAACTGTCCCTGGGAAAAAAAAAGCTTTAGGAAACATGAACATTTCCTGCAATAAGTAGTCATTTAATTAAAGAACAAAAGTAACAGGAATCAAAAATGCTTGCAGCTGTGATTCTGTTAGACATTATATAAAAAAGAATGAAATTATAATACATTAAATTAGTTTTTAGAACATGAACTTAAGTGTTTTACAAACTAATAGTGGTAAGTTCAAAATGTCTTGTCAGCGTAATACTGAATGACAGTGTGTCATGTCCATTTATATCAGAGGCCTTGGAATGGTAAAGCCTGTACATGCACATCTCCTTTTCCAAGATAGACTGCCAAACAGTTTAAAACAAGGGTTAAAGGAGAGTAGTGGGTTCTTTCAAGTAGCTTTACTTCAGTCTTTTTCAGCAGATCATCCCACTCCACAGGCCGTCGCTCTTCTGGCTTCAGAGCGAAGTACATCTGGTGTTTCGTTCTGTACGTAAGTGCTGCAGAGACTTCATCTGCAGAGTCCTTCTTTCACATAAACATCAAGGTATCCTGGACTGAACTTCAGGGAAAGACTTATATATCCCCTGATGTGTGTTCAGCAGCAGTATCAAAAAGTAAAGACAGATTCTTCTCAGAAGAAAATTTCTATGGCCTGTGAAATCTAAGAGAAAGAAGAGATATTTTTCAAACCACTTTCAAATAAAATACATAAGATTTTTAAAAAATCTGTTAGATTAACAAAAAGTTACTTTTTAAAAAAATATTCAGTCTCTTTAAAGGTACAGTAACAGCAGGGAAGAATATTAGTGGCTTTAAATCTTAATTTTCATGTAAATCTTTCCACACCTGCTGTGGCTGTAGTGTAGTAACAGTCCTCAGGGCCCAGTCTAACCAGTTTACAGTTATATGGGACTGCAAGTTGCAAATACAGGTGTGGGGTTGATGTTGCTTTTCTTTTAGGAATTAAGCCACTATTTGTCATTGGTAGAAATTTTTTACTGTGCAGTGATCTTGTTATTTTGCAAGAGTTAAGCAATGTTGAGCCCATGGTTTGGAAAGTTGTTTTAACGTATGATAGTCTTAAGAGTCTGAAATAAATATACTCTTGTTTTCTTGTTCTTTTGGCTGAGATACATAGTTAAAGTCACAATCATTTGTAATGCTTTAGCACTAATTGTAAATAGTAAGCCTGTTTATTCCTAGTATCTTGAACAAATTTCAAAATACATTATTATAACCTGCATGAACTCCCCAGGTAGCTTCAATTAGAGGAGGTGGATCTCACTTTTGGACTTAAACTGCAGCCATCTCGTTTATTTTTTCTATATCTTATTCTACCAGTGCAGTGATATCTTGCCATACACACTGAGTCTGAGTCCTGTAATGTTAAAGGGGCCTTAACAATTGCACAAACAGTCTGGAATCGTATAAATATAGCATTTAGACCACTGTGTGTTGCATTTCTGACTCAGGGGTATTTGCCTACAACATCTTTTCACTGAACAGTGAAAGCTCAGTTAAGTGGGAATTCCTTCAAAGTTCAGAGATCAGCCTGGAGCTCTGGGCCCGTGAAGTGAGCGTTCCAGAATGCAAGACTGTGCAGCCAGTTCCTTAATTCAGTGTTGGGCAACTTATTTTAGCAGCAAGCACACCTGAGAATGCTTACAGCCATGGCAAGGGTATGTTGTGCTCCCAGCAACTCCAAAAATTTTGTGTTCAGAGAAACTGGACTTGCTCAGGAGAGCTAATAGAAATTTTAGGAAATAACTGATTGCTATTTCAGTGGGGTTTTTCCAACTAACAAGGTCTTTCTGCAGGTAAAAGTGGCTGTGGAATCATCCTCCCTCATGTTTTTTCCCCACTTAGAAAAGGGAAATGAGTGTTTTCGTGCATGTTTAAACCTGGTACCTATCATCAGTGCTGGCAGGGGAAGCAAGCACGGGATTGATGAGGCTCACACTGGCCCAACCCCTCAGAGAGTGACAAGAGTCCACATCCCGTGTGTAAGAGCAAAATCCGCAGACTCGGGACTCAAGCAGACTGGTTTTAGCAGGTAATGGGAATAAGTATCTGGGAGACCAACCTTGTCAAGTGTTTGCTTGATGCATGTACCTCCATCTCATTACTCTTGTACTCATTTAGCTCTTTCCGAATTGCTGCCTAGGAATTGAAAATAGAAGGTGGTTAACAAAAAAAAAAAAATTGTATTTATAAACATTTTAAAGCATTTGCAGAGCAAAACAGGAGTGCAGCCTGAAAACGTTAAGAAAGATGGTATTCACTTTTTTTTTTTTGTCCTATCAGTTGATGGGCTGCTGCATAGAATCCGTGATAGTACTGAATAGGCATTTTTATAAAGAGCATTTTTACAACAATATGCACTGGTCAGTGTGGTTTCAACGTAAAAAATAACGGCAACATTTATAGAGATTAAATGTCCCAGAGGTTAAATGTCTTTGTGGAATTTCCTGTATCATTATAGGCAAAGCAAGCAGAAAGTAGTAACAGGTCATTTTAATTGTGTCAGTACCTTATCTGCTGCTGATAGTCTTGTCCACGGTTTATCTGCCCGCCTGTCGTAGTCCTGTGCTTTTGCCACTTCCACATAATCACTGAATCGAATCAGGATTTTTCTGTCTCTTAGTTCATCAACTGTAGGTCTCTGGTTAAGCTGTATTAAATAGTTTTGTAAAATAAAACCAATGTTACTCACAACCACATCGATAAAATGTGCAACTTTTTCTGCTTCCCATCTTAGCCTAGAGGAGTATCAGACGCTGTAGGGGTTCTCCACTACAGTCAGTGGCAGATGGTCTGTGGAAGGATTTCAGAACTGGACCCATTGCAAAGATTTCAACTTGACTTTAAGAAATTATCAGCATATTTGGCTTAAAATTCCAGCTGGGATTCCTAGGAGCAGATCAGTAACAAGATCTGGTTCTGATTCTGAGAATACCTTAAATAAAAAGAGAAAATTAACTTGGGAGCACACCTGGTGCTCAGCAGGGAGGCAGCTTTGCTAGGGATTTGCAAGGAAGAATGAAGTAGTCCTTTTCTAGCAATATAGTTGCAAAATACGCAGTGTGCAAGCAAATACAATTTTTCTGGCATAAAGTTTAGAAGGTATTGCAAGATTTTACCTTTCTTGTCAGTCTCTGTTTGATTTCCCTTCTTTCTTCCTGTTCTGTTTGATCATTTCGTTCTGCAGAGAATATATATATTAAAAAAAGAGATTACTTTCCTCATGAGGAGGATTGGTATTTTCCAGAGTTCTAGGCAATAAAACTTAGAGCACAGAAAAACAAGTAGCTGGTTCTTATAGTTGTGTGTTTTGTTAGTTCAGTCTATCCCCCTGGTTCTCTATTAGAACATACAGTTACCTCTCTGTAAGGACAGGGTTCTGGTGCCAATGTTGGCTTTTCCTGTGCTCTAAACTCCAAGGAGATTTAATAAAACAAAAGCAGCCACACTAACTCTCCAACTGCATAAACTTCAGGAGGAAAATTTAAATACTCAATCATCATTTTTTATTCTCCACTTTGCCAGAGCCATTCATTCCTGTTAGCTGCTGAAAGGGCTCACTGCCGCAGCACGGGGGAAGTATGTGCCTTCCTGGATAACCTTGTTCTCAGGGCACGTCTTTCGATGGTCACGGTGCCGTGGCAGTTATCTTTGACTTGTGTGCTTCTTTTCTCTACTATTCAGGATATGCCACTGACATTAGAACCTCTATATCCTCACGGGGTTTTCTTTTGGGGTGTTCCATTCCAACCTAAGCCAGCTTGCTTTTGTGTGTTGTGCCTATTAACATTCAAGCCGTGATAACTCCTACATGCTGGGTCTAAAAATAGACTGGAGTGCTGTAACACACTGTGAAATACATCCTTTGCCTTGGGAAACGAGTTAATGGCATTTCTATTTCTAGTACTATCTGTTACTAAATTAAGGAGTGAGCCTATGACCTGAGCAAAGCTGAAGACGGAGAGAAAAATGTTTAACCATTCTGGGAATCTCTAGATAATACGGTGGAATTTGTTATACTACTTGCATTAGGTATTTCCAGTGTTAAAGCACACACGTGATTTGTAATACCCCTCAAAAAACCACTACCACTGCAGATTATATTTTTAGCAAAGAAGTATTCTTCTTCCTTATTTTTAAGCTCAATAGATGACACCGAAATGCAATCCTAATATCTACTTAAAATAAGATAGTAGTGCGTAGCTACAACTGGCTATAGTAGAAATGCAAATCAAATTAATCTAAAATGCTATAAGGGGCTATATTACAATTCTGTGGCAAGGCACACAAATATGAAAGAGAACAGGGACAGCTAAAATTAGTGCTCTGTCAGGGATAAGCAGCTATTTAAGACTGAAATGTTTAAAAAGGGGAACAGGCTTTAAAAAGTAGAGTATGTTCTAAGATGTAGAGATAACCTGCAAGAAGTTACTAATATGCTTTATTCAGTTTTAATTCACCCCTCTAGATATTTCTATGTATTTTTATAAAATAAGAGAATCTTCTGTGACGTAGTTCCTTTTTATGATATGATTGTGAGAGAATTCCTAGAGGAGAACTACAAACATGCCTTTCTGAACAAAAAATGCTTTTCCAGATAAACTAAATACATATTGTGACCCATTTCTATGAGACATTCACTCATGTTCAGTGCTTATTGCCTGCTTCAAGAAATGAAAGAATAAATAGAAAAAATAAACGCGGGTTTGCTAGGAAATCCTACTGAGGGCAGTATAAAACTCAGGCGTTATTAGAGACAAACCAGAGAGGCTTTTCCCATCAGCATCCCTCTGCCTACACGTAGATCCATTCATCAGTGAGGGCTGGTTTCATAAATCCCAGCAGAGAGACACTCCCAATTAGGAAGTGGCATGTGCAGTTGTGTAATTCATTTTGCTGCTCTCTGAATTATTCAGGGAATTCTTGGGCGTGACACTGTAACAATTCCTGGGGTTCCGAATGAACCGGGGATTGTACGGCGTGGTTTGAGAGACGCTGCCTTCTCCAACATGAACGTCAGCTTTCTGCTGAGGAACAACACGTGAACACCTCGGTCATGACTTTAGTTCATATGCTTTTCAGGTTTTGTGGTAGACCAGCAGCATTTCTATAGTTCAAGTAAAGGACTTAGAAGATAAAAGCAACTGTAAGAGTGTGTTGGCTTTTAGTTTGCTTTTTAAATATTATTTTCAGCTCAGAAACATCTCCCTAAGAGAGGTGAGAAGTCACTTCTTTTAATCTTACTGAGATTTGTTTTAAAATGACACAGTAGTTGCACTTAGGTACTTGGAATATGCTTCTCATTTTGACAGAGGTGTACAAAAGTGAATTATTAGTACTTAAAACAGCTTTGGGGGTAGCATTGCTTCCCTTAGCAGTCTGTCTTATGAACATCAGAGATGCTAGGAAACTTACAACGCAACTGTACAAACCCTTTACAACTTGGAGGAGGTTGGAGTGATTTCACTGAAGGGCAATTATACTGCTGCACCTTTGCATGTCAGACCCAATCCATGTTATGTTTAAAACATAACAAGAATGTTGATATCCCTTTAATAAAAGGAGACTTTACTAATTTCCCAATTCACTCAACACTGAGAATAGAGTTATTGCGTCTGTCCAGCCTTTTCAGTTTACAACTGACACAGCTCTTTACAAGATACGTAGCTTTTTATATAATGGAAGAGATAAATAAAATAGAAGTGCTTCTGATCTCCGCTGAACCTGTATAAAGCCTGAGCAACTGAACTGAAGTCAATAAACGTGCTCCATGCTGGGAGCTCTTTAAATGAGATACAAATCTAGACCAGTATGTTTAGCTGGCGTTCAGGAAGTATCTTTAATTCTGCTTTATCTTCTTTCTGCTTTATCTCTCTCTTAAGCTCATTATATGAATGTATTCAAACTTTTTTATTATTAAAGCTGGTCGGTTTAACCCAGATTAAGGATGTAACCAGCACACTTCAAAAAGTAAACATAAATGAACAGATTTTTTCAGTAGAGATCAGCTCTTTCTTAGCCCAGAAAAAAACCAAAGAAACAGATTTTCAGAGATCTTAGGTACTGACTCTTGAAAATCTGGCCCCAGATATTTCAGAATCTTGGGTTATTGCTTATTCTTGTCTCTTGAGGTAGATGGCAGGTGAAGTTAGGCCAAGTTCATCCACTCAACATTTGCAAAGAATGTATCCTTTTTCTCCTTTAGCTATGCACATCTGATTTCACTGGGTGCATTGGAACAGTACTGAAAATACTGATAAATACAAGTTGAGTGTGGAATTCCTTTGTGCTAAAACTTAAATTAAATCCCCAATAACTTCCATGGCAAGAGCGTAAGGGTTTTTTTGTATGAACCACTAAGAAAGTTTGAGACATTCCGTTTTAGGCAACAAAATGTAGATAACCTTATTCCTAGCGACTTAATCGCATTAATAATCAAATATGAATTAAATAGCGTAGGCAGCATTACTTGTATGACATAAACTTATGTGGCTTCATGTTTTGTGCTTGTTTATGAGAAATAAACTGTTGTTCACATCACTCTGGGTTTTGTCTCTCAACACTGTAAACAGACCATGAAAACAACAGAAGTGATAAACTTTTCCTTCAAGCAGACGGCTGCCTCCTTTCTGCTGGTGGGACCCACATTGGAGACAGTTGCCAAGCTCTCTCTCACCTTCTCCTAACGTAGAGGATTCCCGGCTTTATGGGAACGTAAAGCCAAGATTCTGTTCATCACGTGTTTGCTCCCCAGGTCAGAACACCAGGCTTCAGGACAAGAGTTAAAAGTTTCTGCCTTGTGTTTATTTGAATGGTGTTGAGAGCACTCCCCTACAGCAGCACCTGTAACAGGCCTGGAACTGCCCCTCTCGTATCTCGAATCCCATTCTTTGACTCATCTTTGGGAAGGTCTGTAAAGATCTGACCAAGTGTACTCGCTAGGAGAACCACACCTCTGCAAGGCAGCGCTCTCTGTTCTGCTTTAACCTCGGGGGTGTTCAGTGTGCAGCTTGCCATGACTGTCCATACCTTGAAAAATGACAGTCCAGTTCCCACTGTGGTGTGTGCCGCTAAGGTTGTATTCCCCTCTTAGACATCCCCAACAGTGTAATCATAACGAAAATTATTTGAAAGCCTACATTTGAACAAGTCATTTTTTTTTTTAAATTGCCTGCTTTTTTCAAAGTGTACATTCTGATTCTTGCACGATCTCAAACCCAGGACACATGAAAAATTAAAAGTTTTAGGTACGGAAAATAATCCCAGTGAATGAATCTGTCTATTTAAAAATAATATATTCAATAAATGCAACCACTGGTTTCAACAATCACATATAAAATACTTTAGGGAAAAAAAAATACTCACGTTTCAGTATATTTCTTCTTTCTAGCTCCTCAACAGCAGGTCTTTGGCTGAGTCGCCTGCGGAAAAACACCAAAATCACATTTTGTACCATGCCTGTTCTTTGGAAAGTCTGCAGTATCCTGAGCTCTGGTTGGTGTTTTCCTTGTGGAGGGGACTACAAAATTCCTCTCCAGGTCTCAGGAATAAAAAAATAAATAAAATAGAGGAATCTTGGCACCAGAATACTTTCTTCTGTTATTTTTCCCAAATGTCAGCAAGGCAGGTAGAAGTTCTCCTCTAGTTTGCTCTGCTGTCAGTAAAACGCTTCCCCAGAACACGCATCCTTTTCACCAGACTTTCGAGACAGTCCGTTGGAACCAGTGCTCTCCAACGAGGGAGTATTTAAGGTGGTTATCAAACGAGTTTCACAGGGATCTTCTGCAGCTAGCACTGCTGCTACCTTTTAATGTCATGTAGCAGCAGGCTTCCTTTTTCCTAGTAACACCAGTGATGCATCCTGACAAACTGCAGACTTGCCAGCACAAAAGCTTTCCCGTGGTTTCCTCACCACACATCTAACAGACCAATCCAGCCGCTCTCCTCCTGCCTGCTGAATAAAATTCGTGTGCTGCTCACAGCCTCACGCTGTCTGAACGGAGTGTCTTGTGCAGTTTCACCTCCCCTTTTCAGTGGTGCTGCTTCAGGATTGAGTCTTCCAATCATATGATCAGTGCCATAGTGATTTTATTCTGCATTCTAAATGAGACTTCCCCACGAGACACGGCTAGTATCTGCAGAGAATCTCAGGTAATTGCACCCCTCCCCTAGTCAGACACACACACGCAGGCTGCATTTGCCAGCTTTCAAGTAATAATCCAGCAAGCAGATCGGAAAGAGTTTACGATGCTTTCTGGCCTCTGTTCTGGCAATGTTAAGGATTCTCAGCGTCTCTTCTCCAGCAGATGTTGCCAAGCCGGAGATGAAGTTAAAGAGACAAAAGAAATCCTCAGAGCAGGGACCACACTGCAAACCACTGTTGCAGGAGTTATCCCTCTACTGTGTATAGGAAGTAGAGGAATTATTATAAAGTGATGTTATAACAAGATCTACATTTTATCAAATATACAAGAGATGAAAAAAATGAAGTAACTGTTAATACACTGTAATACACATTATAAGACCAACAGCCCAAAACGTCAATACAATTCCTTATTCTTTAATCAGCCTCCCTGAGATCACTGGGAAAGCTCTCATCTCTGCAACAGGAAGGCACTGCAAGTACTATGCCAGGTTCACGCTAACAGAAAGCTTTGATGATGAGCTCTTGTGCTGAGAAACTCCTACAGCCTAACTCTTGTTCTTCCTACCTAACATTTTTTATAACCTAGATTTCTCCTCCTGGATTTGTAGTAATGAGTCGGATACTCTAACACTGGAAGTTGCAATACTCCAAACAAAAAACAGGAATGCTGCTGAAATACACTACTAAAGGCTTTAAACACATATTTTCAATTCCTGTTGCCCTTGGACTCCTCCCTCCTCACACACTTCCCTGTACGTCTCACAAATTACACAACTCTGGCTAGGTTTGTTTTGAAAGAGATTAATGTTCATTTTATAATATAAATCAGGGAAGAATGACTTAGAGAGCTTATCTGCAAATGAAAGGTCCACCCGACCTGCTGCTCACATGCCTCTCTCTCAAGCCATTCTTAATTACAACCCTTCCATGTGAGATTTATAGATTCTCCCAGAATCTGTACATTAGATTTCAGGGGCCCCTTTTAAACTGGAGGATTAAAAGCCTAACAGAAATGATTAAAGCAGTATGAGAACACATATGTATTTGAATGCTCTATGTATTTTATAGAGAGTTATAATAAGTATGATGGTTAATTATTTAAAAACCTCT